TTCGATCAATAATCGCGAGCTATTCGCTAAACGGACGCATTTTTTTGGCACCCGAGCCTCCTATCGTTCTTCTCGTCATTTGTTGCGAAAGGCATCGAAATTAGTCTAATCCATAGAATTCCAAATAATCGGTGAAGGGTAGCATTTCACATAAAGTTTATGGAAGGAATAGTACGTTCGGATCTCAACGGTGTAAAACAAAAGAATGAAACTACTACAAAGTATACAGTTTGCTCATGCCTTTTCGATAGGTCAGCCTCGTTGGCTCCTCGTTCCAAAAACGTCAATGTTCGAGCTGTTGTTGATGGCCTTGATATATGAAAATCAACTGTAAAATCCGTAAAATCATTGTTTTCAGAATGCTGATGGTCCGCTCAGTGACGCGATCCCGGCGAAAAGATTGCGTCCCATTATTCCCTATACAAAGATATCTCTACCTGTAAATGATCAACCTATACGAGTAGAAGCTGTTACTGAACAGCAACCAGGAAAAGTTATATTTGTACAAGGTTTGACGTTACAGTTTTGATTTATTTGGTCGAGTCAATTTCCATACTATCATTATGTTATCACTCACGAAAGCTTTACACCCAGTTACTAGTTTTTAATCTTGAAGTTTTTTATTTGGAATTATTTTTACATGTCCCTTACGTTGGTTTAAGTCTGCCTTCATCTTGTGTTAGGCTCCCATGGAGTCTTCAAGTGAATGGCCCAAACAACTTTGTGTCATGACTAAAGTAGGTAATCCAAAAAAGCCATAGATTCCTTGTAAGAAAATCGCAACTCTGACTCTTATTTATTCCTGTGTGCAGCATTATACTTAGTATATACCGTAGTTCTTAGTAGAAGAACAGATAATTAAGGAATTTCAGGAATGGGCATTGCTAACTAACATATTTTCGCAGAATCGAGGTTATACCTATTGATAATTTATAATTTTCAGGACGAGTTAATCCCGTTACGGAACTTCCCAAAATATTAAATCGTGAGTTACTATCAGAATACAGTAATCCTTTATACAAGCCCTGTAAACGGTGCCGAAAGTTGCACCGCTTTATACGCTTGATTAGCGTTACCCAAGAGGGTGGCCATCCCTGTCCTAAGATTTCAAATATGTTTTCAGCTTCCTCAATATCTGCCTCGATTGCTCATGCCCTTGGAATGCCCATTGCAGCACAATCACAAAGGGCACCAGTGGTAGCCCGTGTGAGTCCTCCTCCACTTAGATCGTCGACTGTGCGCTCCCGACCTACTCCAACCGTGGTTTCTTCGCAACAGATAACGGCCATGGTGAGTTGGCTTAAAACTGTTTGTCTCAAAATTTCTTATGATCACGTGGTACTCTGTTAGGCGTTCGTTCTCATTGGTTGACTTTCAGCCCATGTCTGTTCCTACGGCTCCAGTAGAGGTAGAAGTACGGCCCACAGCTACCAGTGGGTTCGCGAGCTCTCAGCAAGCTTTGGAAATGTTTTATCTAGCTCTTTGTGAGCCTGCATTCCCTCATCCAAGTGGGTTGTTCACAAATTTTGACTTTGCGGTTATAATATTCCTATTGGCATTGATTCTCTCGTTTTTGATTGTAGTTCTTCAAGCCTTACAGTTTCATGTAATAGTTAAGCGAAATAACACTTTTAACAGCGATAGCAGCCTCGGTCTTTTCAAAGGACTATTTTCCGAATATCAATGCGAGATCCTATCCCTGAACCATGTATGTATAGGGTGCGTCATCTGTACAGGCCATGGAGAGGGGGTGTACAAACGATCGGCAGTAGTTGTTGCTGTAGCGTTTCATATTTTGATCGGTGATTGCGTACATTTAGCTCTTCATCGGATTAAGTACCCCCATGTTATTAGCTGAACGGTTTGATTTGGGCTGCAGGAGAATTTGTTCACCATTGGAATTGCCGTAGCATAATATTGTGAAGGTGTTTGCTTTGCACCCACCAAATAGATTTCGATTTAGATGAACCTCCATTGACTCCATATCCAGCCAACTATTGTTATGACGAGTATCTACGATTGACATCCGGTCAGGGTCCACTCTAATGGTGCCTCCTATCATATATTATTCACTTTATTCTAGCATAGTACGTTTTTTATTTGAACCGGTCTTCTTTATGGGCTTGAATCAAGCCATGACATAGTTTTTTCGTCGACTGAGTACCCTAAATGTTAGTACTTGCGTAGTTATTGTATACTTATTCAAATCAAGTATCCTTTTTTGAAAGAGAAGCTCATCGTGAGCATCCAGTTTAGCCGTAAAGCGAGCTTTGGCCATATTTCCATATTCTCATTTTGAAGACCTAAGATGTTGAACATATTCAGTCAAATCCCATGCCTCCTCCTCCAATGTTTGTTCACTACTAAATATTTCGTTTCTATAAGACCCAAGACAAGGACCGTACGAAGAACAAACACCATTTGAGCCACGAAAGGGAAAACCAAAGCTGGGGCTCGAAGTACTGTTACTTAGCGTGCCCTTACTTACACCCTCATTCCATGGAACCTTTCGTCTAGTATGAGTTATCCCCGTGGAGTGATTTACTCATAATAATATGTGCGTTTATATTTTTTTTCGAAGTAGGGACTTTTCAAATTCTTACAAAATGTAGGTTATAAAGAACAAGCAAATACTTCAGTCTTACTTTGGCTGTCGTGTGTTTTTGACAACTCAGCGAGCGGTCGCGGTGCAGCACTTCTGACTGTTGGACATCGTTCGCTGTTGCAATACGTTGTGGCACATTGTTGAACATTGGCAGTACTAGTGACTAAGGAACAGCCATTGTGCTTACTCATCATCGTCACCGTACGTTCATGCTCAACGTTGCCATTAGTGCAATACGGTGAGCTCCACGATGGCCCACAGCACAGAAGTCTAACCGCACCTGCTAGTACGACTTTTCGTAGTCCAACTTGCTCTTAATCGACCTTTCCTAAGAATGTAGGTGTTCCATTTTCATTTCACATACTTTTGCCCCATTATGGGATTCCATTTGTTGTGGCTTCATGTGGTAATTTACCAGTACGGTCCAATTTCGCTGGAAGTTAAAGTGTTTTATAATGGTTCCAATTTCTTTTCGTGCTTACTGACTACGGCTAATATGTCTGTAAAGTCGGATTCGCTTTGTATCTCAATTTGTCCTAAGATCACTTTATATTTAACATTTTCGTTTATTTCTGAAAAAAATATTGTTGAATCGTGGTAAAGAATCCCGGTGTGAACCTTATGACACACCTTAAAAAAGATTGTTAAGTTTTCGTTAAAAAGTTGGGTGTTCGGTCGCAAGTAGCATGAGATTCTGTTGTGCACATTGGGTTAGAAGTGTACATTGCATGTGAGGAAGATCTGTGATTGGTGATTTGGAATGAACTGCCAATCAAAAACGCCCCACACATGCGCTGATCACCTTCGACCCATTTTGCGTGACAGGATCTTGGTCTGGGCGTGACTATCGTTAGTATTTTGCTGTTGCCTTGTCGTTTTTCTCTTTTTTCTTCAGTGAAATGGAAGTGTTTTGTTGTGTTTTTATTGTGTACTTATAAAGTTTATTACAAATACTCATTGAAAAAGACACATTGGTATACACGTAACGAATTCTATTGAGAAGTACTGACGTACGCCCATAAACGTAATTCTCTTTCTTACGACGTCCTTTTTTGTAACTACGTTGTAGTTCCTTCAATACCTTTACCTTTCACTAATGTGATGGGTAATTCTGTCGGTAGCTTTCTGCTATCATGGCTAGTCTCTTTGGAGACGCTCCTACACACATACACAGTTGCGGGCAGTCACAATTGCACTGGTTCGTCTCGGCAGTCTGTAGTTTCTGTGGAGGCGCTCATTTTCTGTACGGCTCCAAGACGCATCCATGCTTGAATCATACCCGTCTGAGCCATCATTGCCTAAAATCGATCACATCAAAGTAGAGATGGCATCAAAATTTTGAAAAATCCACTCATAAGTCACGGAAACGTGAACCTATTCAATTCAGACTTGTCTTGTCTATGACACCGCGACGTGACCGCGAGATTGCAGTCATTGCGGCACATCTCCCACTGGAGGTGAAAGTCCCTCACCTGAAGTGCCCCTTGTCGTATTGTGGATAGTTGACGTTTTTTGCTGTCAATAATTGAAGAATGAGCACTTCGAATCTCCTTATTCATAGCTGTCAGTATTACGGGATACGCCGTGCATGCAATATATGGAAGCAGATGCGTAAACGCCGATACTACTACCATCCACCTGCAAGAACAAAGGAGTAGTCGGTTATACATACATTTGATCAAAAAACACTACATTTCTCAAACTACGGTAGAGGTCATCGGGGCATAAAATTACACTTTGTATACGCGTAAAACCAATACCTATAGCAAAACATTTGGCCAAATTCCAGAAACCAACTACGAGAACAGTCAAAGCACTACATTTTGTATGACGTAGAACAAAGCAAATGACAGTTTCCACGCATATCGATCGATCTGCGACCGCTTGTCTATCATGTCATCGCGCGCAGCCGATCAATATGCATGATTCCAATAGACAGCCGCCATTTTTTTTTTGAGGTCTGCACGCTCCTTACTGACTATTTCCAAAGTCTTCATACAAGTGGACCAAAAACGGGAGGTTAAGTGCTTGTAAAAAAGCCAACAGATGAGAACGAGTTGTTATGTGTTGGTTTACTCTGCATAACACAAATGAGCAGGGTTTTTTTTTTGAATACACGGTCTCGATAGCTTATGGAAGGGATCGATTGTGATGTTTATTTGTTTACCTGTGCAAGATGTGTACCATAGAAAGGAACCAGAATAGAATCCAATATGGTGTCCAACACATTAAATATACGACAACGAAAGCCGTAACAGTGCGACGAATACGAAGTATCGATTGACTATTGATCCGTTGTCCGGCTACAATTTCAAATTTTACTGCTCTAATTTTATTTTATATCCCCTTTTTCATCGTTTTTGAGTCCTCTCAGAAAAAAAGCCATTATACTGATGAGAAGGTGTTTTGCTAGGATTAAGTTGAGACGGCAGAGGCGTTTATAAGACGATCAGAAAGGATCAATCGAGTAAAGAGGATGTGAAAACTTACTGGTCACATTTTTGGAATAGCGTCGTTTTAGAAGTATCGGTACATTTGCATAGAAATAGACATAGCCGACGCTAGTCATGATGTAGCCAACAAGAAATGCAATCAAATTGAAGGCTGTTTCTGAAAAATGCCAAAAATTTTTCAAAAATTATAGGGCTCACACGTTGCTGGTCGATCAATCGTTGGTGAGGTCCTTTTTGATTGATTGATTGATTGATGGGAACGATAAAATACGAAGTGCCCTCGACTAGTTAACAACTTCTCGATGCGCCACATACTCGACTTCAATTCACAATCGTACTAGGAGTTTCAGACTTAACATAGGGCCCTCACCAGACATGCAACCCCTTGATTTCCCAAAACTTTCTCTGCTTTGCTCTCTTCTCAACCAGTTGACGTAAGCTCTTTGGATGCTGCCATATCATGAAAAGAATGAGCAATCTTGAATGAGCTACCAACTGGGAGTAGGCAAGATTGGAGGTTACGCTGGTTAGTGGTGGCGGCTACAGATCACAATAATCTTAGCTGTATAGCCACACTTCCAAGCCACAGAGGGGTTTCAGTAACCCTTAGCCTCTTGAATGGTTGCCGAATCTACCCAAACTTACTACCAAACTTAAAACCGTCGATAGAAGACGGAATGCGCTACCCCGCGAGCGGCGACCTAGTAAGGCGACTTCGTTGGCACATCCCAACCCGCTTTCGAATCCTAATGTGAAGTACTGGGACTATCCTCCTCTCCTCCCTTGGTTATTTCCTTGATCAGTCGTTTAATCAGAAGTGTTTACGGATATGAATGAATATCGAATGCGTGGCGCATATTGTTTCTATCCTTCGACTGTGAGGTACTCCAAATCAGCTTCGAATTCAATAATTTAATAATTCAAAACAAAAACAGGTTTACCTAAATGACTACCAGTGCAATACGCAGAAAACCTTACCGTAATATGGTGGCGGATTGAAATTACAGACTGTCATAGGTTTATCGCGAATCCAATACATATTCGTGTTAGAAAAATAACCAACGAACAGCTGAAATTATTGTTATTATTGTTGTTGTTGTTTACGAGAGCATTCATAATTATGCAAAAGTTTTTTGCTCACCATAAGCATAAGCACGGTAACAGCTGCGAGAATATTTGCCGTTATCATACAAGCACGTCGCCGGTCCTTGACATGATCTTGCATACTCACCGACCTGAAATAAATATTTCAAAAATAAATAAGTAAACAAAAAGTAAACACAGAAGAAGATGTGATAGTGTAGTTGGTTCATAAGCAGCAGATTATTCGCTAGATCAATTGTAATGATAAATAATGAGGTTTCCGGAAAGAGGAAAACCGACATCGGACGAATGGGAGCTCGATCAACCCGAGCACATATCGAATCAATATAATCGTGGGATCATACGTGTGCCCCGGAGCTATTTGCTCTACCCTAGCTCCACTTCCGGACTGGAAAAATAGGCCCATTTGGGAAGTTTAGGTATAGGTAAACTTTAATACGTACGAAAAGTGCCGCCATTTTTCTCCCCTTTCAAAGAGAGCTGGTTCAAAAGAGATTAACGTCGGAGAGTGTCCGAAGAATGCATGGATCCCCTTCAGTAAAAAGGGATGTTTACAATTACAAATGATCAATAAATATTGAAAAAATCTTCGAATTCTTAAGGAATAAATCAAAAGCACTCACTTGTAGGATGCACGGCTTATGTGCACTAAAGCGAGGGGAATAAGAAATTTGTTGAGCACTTCAACGCAGTAGAACATCTGAATATCGAGAAATATGATATCAGATTACGGTAACAAGGTGTCCCAGTCAACTTACCTTACAACTCGTCTCCCCAAATATCCATTCTTTTGAGATTTGAAAATGCACGAGTAGCGACAAATCACAGAGAACAAGCAGATCAGCACAACATATTACAAATATACAGTAGAGAATTTGTCGGGGTACGGATGAGGTGTGACCGAATAGCAGAACAACGCCGACCTGAATTCAATCGATAACGATCGATAATCGATGTGATAATTGACAGATTTAGTTAAGCACCAGAATGTTTGAAATATAACCTTTTTACTTGTTCAGTACGGTAGATCAAACAAGAAAAAGTATAAAACATCTTCAGGAAGAGAATTGTCGGGATGCGCCATACATTAGAATTCTTCTCGAATCAACGAGGTAGTTGATTCCGTTATAGCACTTTTAAGTCCCACCTCAGGTATCCCAATTACTCGGTCGTAGTCATTTGACCTGTGGAGGAAGGAGGAGGAGGAGGGGNGGGGGGGGGGGGGGGGGGGGGGGGGGGGAGCATCGCTGGACTTAGCGACTTCGAACCCCTAAATTAAGGAAAATGTAGGAGCTCCTAGCCACTGCATTGTCCCTGCTTCGACCATAAACATAGTTTGTTGGATAGTGAGTAAACGAAATATTTGTTCATTGTTATGAAATGATCTCCCCAAACTTCCCAAGTATGGTTTCCCATTTTAAAAATGTTTCAATGAAAACATATAGATAAGAGAGCTCCTGAGGCACCCCCATTAATATGAATTGCCCACTATGGACTTGATCGAAAATCTCCATCACAAAGTTCATTGATACTATATGGGCCAATCACGGAGTATAAACCAGCTCTCAGCAAGTACGACCGGTTTTTTCTTTTTTTCCGGCTTCAACCTCAACTCAAGCAAAAATAAAGGTCCGTAACTCATGAGCTTTTCATTTCCAAAAAGTCGAATAGAAAAAAAAGAAAGAACTTAGAGAAGTTTCAAAATTTCCAAAATGAGGATTATGCGATTAAATAAAGTTACCCGATTGTGAGAGGAGTTGTACAGTGTAAAATATTCGGCCTAAAGTCCGATAAACCATGTAACTCGCAATCAGAAAAGCGCAATGATTCAATTGCAAAGACTTTCAGAAGCATGGCTCAGAAATCAGATTCTACATAGAACCACGCTCAGGCCATTCGAAGGTCGCTAGTAAGTGAATTAGTCAATTCCACGTCAAAAACAAAAGGCCGTGGAAACAGATCCATATTACCAGGAAAGGGTCATCAAACACTATCGATATACCTAGGTCTCTATTCAAGGACCCATGGGAATTTGGAACCCTTCCCTGGTAAGTTGCCCGAAAGTGCAAAGTTCATGTGCAGGCATTAAAAATAGAAAAGTCATGCAAGTCAATGTTTTTGTCCTCCCAAACGTAGTCTGGTAACAATTAACCGACCCCGTAGGGATAGAAGGCTTGGTGGATATCGATCCCCAGGACAATGCCTGTGTGATAATGCACCACTTGTCACTACACCATCAACAATAAACAATAGCAAAAGTATCAACATTTTGTTTACGAACAATGAATATAATGATCATATGAAGTATATTTACCTTCCATGCCACCCATAGATTGCCAAGTACTCCGATGACGATAGTGGCAACGTAGGCGCAAGTGTTTATCCGTAATATCGTATCGATTATACTCCGTGATAAATCTGGCATTTGACGTCTTGAAAATTTCCTTAAAAGGAATATACGTTTTTAGAAAAAGTACATTAATGCTCGGAAACTGTCGGAAATGACGAAAATCATGAAAAACGTCACAAAATCACTTCGGGATTCGGAACAAAAGCAAAAAAATTATTCAAAAAAAAAAGTGCAAGACATTGAGATCAACCTCTTAAGTGGGAATTTGTTCGGGAAGTCCAAAAGAACGAGTTTCACGGGAATCGGAAATCAAGCTACCAAAACAGAGAACGAATGAGTAGGAGGCTTGGCATGAGGCTGTTTCCCGTATCATAGCCAGTGGCTCTATCGTGTTGACATCATCTGAGTTACATAAGGAGCTTGAAGGGGGATTAGCTTAAGCGAAGCGTCGTCTAATCAGGAAATTTCTTGAATCGCATCTCATGCTCCCTGACTAGACAGAATGCTTAGACCCAAAATTGAATACGAATACGATCCCTAACAGTTTTGAGATTAGTTCCAGAAGAGGGGGACTCGTATAATAAATGACAATCACCTATACAACAGTAGAGATGTGTGTGGAGTCTTTTTCTATTCGCCTAATATCCTCTCGCGCCCACATGGGTACCAGTTTTTTTCTCAAACTAAAAGAGGAAACACAGCATCACGTTCAATCTAACCCTCCTGAATCCCTTCTCCACATGAGAATAGCTTGGCCTTTCAATTCGCCTTTCAAACCGAAAGACGGGGCCTATAGTGGATCCGAAAATGGATCCTGGGTCCCATGTGGGAGCTAAATGGCGGAGAACTTAGAATAGCCGACAATCATAGAGGCAATTGCAGGAGAACGACTCGAGAAAGGTGAGCAGAGAGTTTCTGGAGCAAGAAAAAAAANAAAAAAAAGAGAACTGGGAGCCACATTGTGATTTCAGTAGGGCTCTTGGAATTCGATTCAGGAAGTCTGAGGCTTGCAACGGAAGTCGTTCCTTCAAAAGTGAACAGCTGAGCCCTGAAATGCAAAGAGAATCGAGCGCTAATGTGGAACGGAGGATTGGCCAATATGAGAGGACCAGAGCTCACGAAGCGTTCTCGAGGGGTATCCAAAAGCAAATGGTTCCCAAGGGTGGTTCAAGTACGGATGGGCAGCGTAGAATGGGGAGAAGATACATAGTGGGGAACATGTACTCGTGACGTGAATTCGAGAGTGAGTGCAAGCCTTACTCCATTAATCAGACGTATTATTAGGCTTTTCCGGAGGGATATCTTGCTTGAACAGCTTATGCAGGCAAAGATAGTGTCAACACCTCATGCGTGGATGGGTTGGTGTGGAGTTAGTTCCCAGAAAGTTAGCGCAAGCTCTATAGTAAGCAGAAAATGTGGACAAAGCAAGGAGAAGCCCTTTCTGAACATCAAAGATGCTAAGAGTTGCCGATGATGCGACAACAAGGAAGTATCTCTCCCTAACATGCTAGTAATTTGGTCACCATATAGCTTTTAAGTGATGACAGAGAGTGGGGAATGATCGCAGAGCGACATTTCAAGTGGGAGAAGTGCTAATTGGATGATAATGGCGTACATGAGCGAAGGTACGGTAGTGCCATTTGACGCCATCACCTATGTATGGTCCGGGGAACAAATTTCGAATAAATACAGTACCAATACGTCCAAGTCAACCGACACTTCCATTCCCTGGGGATGATCAATCGGTACCGCTAGGNTGGCTGGCCCCGTACTTCATTCTCAGGGACATCGAAACGCTACTACGGTTCTGAATGGAAGTCGAATGACTTGGTGCGTTCCAGAATGGGAACGATCATCCTATCAGTAGGTACCTACCACCTTTCCAGAGAATTTCACACAATATTAGCTACTAACTCAGCTTCCGAGCTTGTAAGCGTTCCTAATGGGACATTTTGTCAGAATGTCAGCCTTCTTAGACGTCAACACCATTCGTCGGCGTTCAGTTTGCAGTTATTTATGAGTTCATGGCTATAGAGCACCCATTACATGCCCTTCACTGGCACTCGAAACGTCCTCGAGAACATTTATCAGTTGAATAGGTCCATCTATGGCGAGCTTCTCCCAAAGTCGTCCCAAAACGATTTCGTTCTCACAACTAATGTGTAGAGTAGGAGTAGAAGACTGGGGATAACGACAGGCGACTGGTCGGGTTGAACAAACAAACACCTCATGGACGTTTTGGGATGGGAGAGGAGGAGGAGTGAATGTATTCGGATAGAAAAAGAAGATTAGAACAGATTTAAGTATTTCGTTCGCTCTTTGGTAAGGAAAACAGCTAAAGTAGATGGCAAGGTCAAATAGATAAACCACTCACGGGACAGATCATGGGCTGGGGTTTTTGGATGAAATTAAGATCTAAGCAATTAATCATGATGCCAATATTCCTGGAAAAAAGAGACTTACAACGATTATCCATATTCAATCCGGACCTAATGACGCAACTGGAAATCGGTTCACGTGGATGGTAAAAAAGTGCTTCGCCTGCTCTTTGATGCCTTTCTAGATGAGGTCGAAAGGAATCACATTAAATGTGTACGTAAATCTTTTAGAAATTCAATTGAACCGATTTATTACATAGTAAAATTAATTAGTAGACATTCACGTATGGGGGAAGCTTCTAGAATGATCTCGAATAATTCCTAGGAAGCAGAATTCGGAGGTTATCCCCTTGCTTGGAGAAATAATTGGAGCAATGGAAGGAAAGACTGTAAAACTTCAACCATATCTGGGATGCGCCATATATTCGTTTCCCACTTCAGATACTTGCAGCGTTAGAATGGTCACATAGGCTACAGAACGGCTTAAGGCAGCAGTTTGTCCGGTAATAAAAGTAGGAATGAAAAGCTCTACTGAGCTGGTCACCACGATGGCCCTAGGTCGTGAATGGGCGGAAGCGCCCACTCCTAGGGATGTCATCTTGATTTTTGAGTTTCTGTGATTGTAGAAGTCCATATACTACTGGAAAGCCTATCAATGTCACGAGAATAGGCCATGAACTTGAACGTCATCCAAAAATTACGAGGAAGCCCTCTGCTCATGTGTGAGCTGTCCGGGTAGGATTTCAAAAGAATGGATCGACTAGAAGAGAAAAAAGGGTCAAAGTAATTACATATTTAATAGGCACGTAGACCAACTATTTAAGAAGATTCGAGGAAAGAGGATTGGCTAAAAATAATATGAACATGGCGAACAAGGAGGGCGTTCCAATACCCGTTCAGGGATGATCAGTGATGTAATCCAGGAAAACGACGTACGTAGCTGTTGAGCGCATTTCTCGAAAGCTTTTACGTCCTTGAAAAAACCGTCCTTGAAGTTGGTTTATGTGATGAACGCGAAGACCAGAATTGCTCGAAGGGGAGATCCCTTGAGCTTCGAGTCTGCACAAAGGTCAGTAGTCAAGTACTTGTAGTTGATTGGTTTCGTCGGGATAGCCCGTAAACTTATTTAAAAGATTGCTTGGGAAGAGAGATTTGAAGGAATTACTCGAAAAGTCTCAAGTGACCGATTAAGCTGAAGAGGAACCTTCTGTAATTGGTGAACGCCGTAATAGAAACTCAGGAGCTAGCTAAAGGACACGCCTGCTAACCATCTTTGCCCCAGAAGAAATTTTTGTCTTGTCCTCAAATTCTAAAGAGAATTTTTAAGAGACAAGGATGTGCGTAGCAGGTAGTCGAAAGGAGGTGGGATCCCATATTGGAAGCGTTCATAAATCAACCTATCGGGAGGATTGAAGCGTTTTCTGGTGCTTCCGCTGGTAAGCTAACCGCCTAGAAATAATCCGTTTGGCCGAGAGGTTAAGGATCATCAAAGTTGCTATTCAAAGACTCGATAGTTGAGATTGCACTGTAAAAGCGCTAGTAGGCTCGGCTAGAGGACTATCTGCCCCGGTCTTCTCCACATTTCTGTATACCGAAATCTGCAGCGGAACCTCTTAGACCCAATGGAAACGCTCTGAGAGCATCTGTTGAGGTGAAAAGTAGAGAGAGAGAAAAACTACAGATTTGTACCCTCGTGATCGAGTCCAATCCCTTTCCGGTCAGAAATGACAGACTATCGAGGCCTGGCTTGTCAAAAGTGAGAGTTCTTTCGTGATTTATATGGGAATTATGGGAATTAGTGAGGAACCCGGAAAGGCAGTCACTAGGGTTCTTCTGAAAGAATTGAATTCACGGTATTCAGTTATAAGGAGGATTTCGGGCAGAGGTAGGGTAGTGTCGAGAAGCGCACTGCTAAGTTAACAGTCCAAAGTTTAGGTCTTCTCTTGACCTGAAGTGAACTGATCCACTTCAAGGATCTCCATCTTTTTGACAGCGCTAATACTTATGAAAGGAATAGAAACT